CCTTATCTCCTCTCTATTGCCAATCCCTCCGCGTCAACACATGCAATCCTGTTACAATTTTGTTCTTATCTAATTTTGTAAACAAGGCCCAATTTCACCAGCAACAGTCCGTTATTCTCCACCTATAGGGTAACAGACCGTCAGATACAGCGAATGAGCTTCAAGTTCCAATCAACAAATTTTAGCAACCAATAGCTATGAAATGTTGAATACAAAATACTGTCAAAGTATGAGATGACAACTTGTCATCACCAGCTTATTGAATATTAAGAAATTACATATAATTCAGTCAAAATTTCAAGAAATGTTTAATTACTATTGTTGATTTTTTATTCATGTTTATATTATTTTCTTCAATTGATATGTGATACTGGGTATTTTTTCCTATAAACCTCTTGCATATAGCCATTAAGCACCTACTTGATGACAGGCTCTACCAAAAGATATTGCTCGTTTCCAAACATTCATTCATTTACTTGCCGTTTATCAGAACCATTATGGCACCTTAGATCGATATTCCCACAAAACCATTCAGGTTTTTTGATATCCATACATCCATAATGTTGAATATTTTTCGTTGTTCAGGAACGTAACAAACATCCACACTATATTCACAGCGATTAATAAATTTCCAAATATACGCCTTAAGGCTACCATCAAACCTAAAACCTGCAAAAAAACTACAAATTTACCATATTTTTCTTTTTTCACGAGTACACATTCTAGGTTAAATTTATATTAGACATTATTTGAATACAGCTGATTATTTCATTTCAAGGAGTGACACATGTGTGGGATCTGTCAACTCTTGGTACCATTCACAAAATATATTATACTCTGAAGGTTTAATTCTATGCTATTCAATGACAACACGGTGACTTGTGTGGTTATCAGCGGCCATTTTGTGAGAGTGCGACAGGGTTGCCAGATTGTGCATTAATATCCCATTTCACCCTGCTGGTCCCAGTGGAGTAAGTTCCGCCAACTGTTGAAATATAAATCAAATCCAAGCGAATAACCAAAATTTCTGTGTTATGTGCCGCGGTTATAATATGGTTCAAGATGACACACGTGTTGATGACTTCAGTTACACGAATCGCTTGAACGCGTTGGTTTTAACCGCGGTTTTGTTGCAAGTTGTTTACTTTAGAAAAGCGCGTATATAATCTCTGATTATTTTTATTATCACTTAATAATCGGTGCTTTTTCGTCTACAACTGTGTATGGAAAGTTTAAATAAGAAACCTTTCATAATATTCATGGGAGAAATGTTTTTTTCAGATTTTTTTTTAATGATGGAACCATGGCTTTGTAGCTATGATAACTTTCAATTCTCTAAATTTTTCCGCATGTCAAAGAATACATTTATTGATTCAGCAGAAATGATGACAAAAGAAATTAGCAAAACCGTATACAGGTAGATATCATCTAGTGAGTTTATATGGCCATATTTTAATATTCTTGTGGTATATGGCTACACAGAATACTTTGTTAAGCATAGGAACTACATTTAAAGTGTCCAAAAAACAACCGTAATGAGTATAACTAATAAGGTGCTCCACTTTATGGTAAAACTGAAATCAGCCTGTATCAATTTTCTGAAAAATGAAGCTGAAGTACAATACCCGCCAAAATTCTAACTTGTCACATTTCAAATAATAACCAGAAATATAAAACTACTCTTGAGTTGGGTAAATACCACAATTTTGCGGTGATAACTATGACATATAACAGCTGATTCGTGACGTCACGGATCTTATAACCAAACTGATAACTACACTCGCTTGAACGGATCGGTAAATACCAACCCAAAATGTTAAATACTATTTCCATTTGGTTATCCGCTTGAATTTGATTATACTCTACTATACTTTATAAGACTATTCGCGACATTTTTCCCAAAATCATTGCACAACACTTGAAAAAATGCAAATGAAAATTTAAAATTATTTTCTTGACGCCGCAATATAGCTCCGTCGGTACCTTGGGTTATACATCTTGACAGTTCGATACGATCCTATATTTAGAAGTATCAATACATTTCACGCGTATCGTCATCTTTCGATCCGGACTGTGTCAGAAAGAGTGACTGCCATTTGGCTGCGACATTACACTGCCAAATCAGACATATCTTTCATTATTGTCAAAGAAATTGTACAAAATCCTCAAATTTGTGAAGTTAGCGATTTTTGCTTCATACGTTGTTACCCACATGCCCGAACCATCAGTTGCTGCCGTGATATTTATCCCGATCACTGCATCCCCACTGCTAGGCGACCTGTATATTAAATTTGTATTGATAGGGCAGCGGGTTATGCCATAAATCATATGTCACAGTGTTTGTGCACTGATTGCAACGGTTAGATGATACCAAAAATATTTTCTTAAATAGGAGATCTTTCCCATTCCGGATCGAACAATCTACCAAAGATGCTTATAATCATGATACCTAGTAAATTTTTACGAAAAAATTCAAAACCAGCAAATGTGAAAGATTCATTTCGCACCCTCCACCACGGGACGTGATCGTCGTTAGACTTGGCAACAAACAATAAACATTACTAGCTTTTTGATTTTTGGACTTAAAAGCCATTATCTGTGAAACATTTTTCATAATTTTTTGTCTATGTCCATAGTAATTGCATTATGCATCAGGGAGATGTAGGGATTGAGACGTCTTACACATATTATCTGTGTTTTAGGATGGAGAGGACATAATGTTTTTGTTGCTTTGAAGAAATTCTTTAACCCATAAATTAATAAATGATTACTATTATGACGTAAAGGGAGATGAGGAATTGGATGGAATGTATTTTATATTCTATTTTCTTGCAAAATACAGACAAATCCACACTATTCAACAGGTATGTAATGATAACTTTCAGTATATTGAAGTTGTTAAATTTAAGAGTGCCATGCATTAACAAACGTCCAAATCTGCTGCCAAATTTAACAGCTAGAAAATCGACCTATTATTTGCCGCATTCCCATTCGCTGAGGGGGATAACGGATTGTTAAATGTAAACCTATAACATATATCAAAATACATGAAAGTTGTCCTGTTTTATCTGTACAAAAGCATCATGTTGGAATCCAAAAGTGGTCTTGTTTATAATACAATCGAATTTTCACGACTTTATTCAATATTTCAATAGAAATCAGTAATATTCAGTGACCTTTGACAGCTTCCGTCAAATTGCAATTCGATAAGGTATTTTGCCATTGGTCCATAATATTAATGTTGCTGAAATTGGCCCTTCGCCTATCAACCTACAAATCATTGCCATTCTTAAGTATACGTGCGTACTCACATACATACCCTTGCAGCAATGCATTATCTGTGGCATTAGCAGGTCCGGAAACTCAACTTATGTGTTTTCCCCAAAAATTAACAAAATGTAGTCCATACTTTTCTGTGAAAAATAAAAAATGGAACAAGACATTGCCCATATCGTTTAAGGGTTTTCCAAAAGACAACGAATATACAAAGGAAACAGAAAGTCATGACTTATTCTCTTAGTTCAATTATTCTTGACATGTATTGAGAAACTAAGTGTTCCATTTTATTTATTGTCCATAAGTTTATTGCAAGTTAACAAAGTATATGTGTATGGTCTAGTAAATTCGTTCAAATTATTTGAATTAAAAGTGTAAACGAAAAATAATTGAGACACGGTTTCTATATTGCATGATATTAATGTGATATCGATTTTTTTAATGCAGGCGAAAAGACGAGCGCTGATTAAGTAACATTCAAAGTAGGTAATACATACTAATACATTTTTTGTGGTTAGAAATGACGTCTAACACTGCCTAACTTTGAATACATCTATTGTAATGTTACCTTCATGTTATCCTATAGTACCCGTCCCCTCACAACACTGCATTTTTATTGAAAACATTGCAAATAAACCTCTTAAACATTAATACGATGAATTTCATTGTCTTGTTTTACATAAATATTTCCACTTAGAATCCACGCGTTGTTTTTCGTAAACAAATCAATACATTTTTTAAACAGCTCCAGTCGCGATTTGGTCAGACCTTCTTTTATCCTAATTTCGGTGTTTTTTGACAATTTTAGATTTTTCAAAACTGATACCCGTGAATCGTTGGAGGTGAACCGTACCAGCACAGCCTACGTACTGTTATTTGAGTATTCCTAGATATTGTCACTATTATGACTTGTGGGTTAGTTGCTCTGGACTGAGAACACTCTCGCTTGTGCGCTGCAAAGGGCTACTAAAGCGACACATCTGAAGTACTCTCAAGTAGAGACTGTTTTGAACATATACCTGGTTCTCGCTTGCGGCGCTTCTTTAACATTGATTGAAAAACGTGCCCTGTTAACTGTTAACTGCTAGGCAAATGAAAAAAAAATTGGTGAGAAATATCTTTTACAATCAAGGTATCTATCATAGAGATTTTCTAGTTACTGAACTGCTGACAGTAACGCTTTTATTTTCCACAAAGCACTGCCGCAAGCTCTGCCGTGAAAGTAACTAGAACCTCTTAAATGATGCTTCCTCGAAGTATCTGTACTTGCAAAGTTAACCCCACAGGGAGATGAATTGTCGAATTATCTATTGTCCTTTTAGTTGTCACTAATACTAACACTTCCCACAAAATATCTCCGCTAGCTCTGCCGCATAAGCACATAAGCACTCGAACGGGCTTGGAGGAGTTCCTTCGCAAAGTCGATACCTGAGCAGTTAACTCCACAAGAAGACATCTTTTTGAACCATGCGATTTATTTTTAAAAATCTTACTAAAAGTCAGCTCTGCAATTTTAATCTAATCAAGTATGAGTGATTAACTGTAAGACTTGCACTTTCAACAAAAAACTTTCCTGCACTCTCCGCCATGGGAACAATTGGATTCAATTGTTCAAGCAGCCCACCACCGTCAATTTGTGCAACGTCCCATCAAAAATCAGGAACAGATTGTACTTTCTTGTTTATGTAAGATTCCCCATCAAAATAAAAGTTAAAACTAAAATGGTGGATGCATATGAACCTATCTAGTATAGCGCTGAATAAAAACTAAAAATAAAAAAATGGTTGAACGTTTATAGCGATTCACAGCATCTAAACTGATAAACAGAAACCATCTTTGAGCAAAACAAAATCTCAGGTATAATCGCAGAAAAATAAGACGCAATGAATGAATTGAAAAAATGTACTTTATTAGTACTAAAACGCACATGAAAATTACCGTAATAAGCAGAACCCTAGTATCGGTGTGACATTATGTCAGTGTTTTGACCATGCTTATATCGTGCATTTTTAGGACGTCTTTTGTAGAGCTGTGATCTTTTACAGATCATGTATAAAGATCAAGTACCTACACAAAAGCACAAAAATGCCCAGCTCAGTTTATAAAGTGCCTCCACCAAATATATCTCGTACATATCGGTAGGCTAATAACCAAAGGTACCACAAAATCGATCGGAAAGGAGCCTACACCAAATATCTCACTATTGTAATTTGGGGGTTAATTGCTCAGGGCTGATAAGACTTTCGCTTGTGCGCTGCAAAGTGCTGCTGAAGAAACAACTCGAAACTACTCACAAATAAATATTGTGTTGAATATTTAAGTATAGAGAACAGCTGGTCTCTGCGCAGGATACAATGGTAAGAGTTGACCCCCGAGGGGGATTGCCCCCAGAGAGGGAATGCCTGCAAGTGTCAGCCCCATTGGTTTTTGTAAACCGATAGAACCCCCCAAATCCACAGCAAATACTTCATATTTTATGCACTATTTACCGACGATGTGCATATTTCTAAGCGGATATGATTTATCTGTTCGTGAGCTAGCGAGCTGGTGCGTGTAAATCTTTACGGGGTGGGACTAGTGACAATATGGAAAGCAGGGTAAAAACTGCGATGTTTTATATTAATATTTACTTAGTAACTTGTTTTCAATATTCGGTATGTTGAGTAGCTCTAAGGTCTTGTTCCAAACATCTGAGCACAGCTTTTCATTTTGAGCCAACTTGTAGGGTCGTATCAGCTTGCAGTCTGAAAAATGTCCTCCGGAATACTTTTCAATCCCTTGTTCGAGAGCTGTGTGTAATGTAGTTTGTGCCCCTTCTTCCGGAGTCTGGAAATAAAGTTAGTACTCCAAAAATAGAGAGATATGATACTCAAAAACATATTAGGAGTGCTCTCAGTTGTTTTACTTGCAGCTGAATGTGTAAATCAACTAAAACAAATATGGCACGGCGGTGTGGCAATCAAATTCCGGGAAATTGCCAATAAAAAAGACATGAAATATGTTTCAGGTCAAATTTTATGAAAGTCTTTTGTACAGTTTGAAAGATATGCATTGAACATGGGCCGAACGTCCCATCGACTTCAAGCTTGGACTAAAACTAAAAGCAAGATCTCTAGACTCTGGGCACGGTGAGTGCAACTAATTCCTGATTTAACACTAAATTCGCGGAAATGAACTGTTACACATGTCAAAATTATATCAAAAACCTAGCTCTAAGCTGAAACTAAATAAGCACTACCTTAAAATAAATTTCCTTGATTGGGTCTAAAATATTTTTCCCCCAACCTCTGATGACTCTGAAGATGTTAGTCTTTATAGTGCCTGGATGTAAGGAAAACACATATACTTGGTCGTCTTTCAGCAGTTGGGCCAGTTTGATTGTGAAGAAAATATTGCATAATTTACTGTTGTTGTATGTGTAGTATGGTCCTTGGTATAATTTATCCAGACTGTCTACGCTCAGATCAGCATGAGCGGCCAAGAATGATGACACATTGATTATTCTACTTGGAGCAGACTTCTTCAGCAGATCTGAAAGATGATAAAATAGTATTTCCACGAAAGAGAGGCTGTTTTAAGAGCTGCTTAATGATCGATGATGGCAACTGCGCAGGAACATGCTTTGGGCCATTACTATTAACTATGAGGAGTTTAAGCAGGAGGAGTTATGCCAAAAAAGCTTTTCTGTATATCTGGTTATATGTGATATCACGCATGGTGATTTAAGTAATTTTCTGTTTTTCCGAATACTAGAACTAGATCAGGAGATGTAAGCTGAATGTTAACGTTCGTTTGACAACCTTTGACTTGACGTTATACTTTCAGAACCTCACCTAATAGCAGAAATGTCGCCAAAGCTGGTCCAAGGTAATTAATTTGGATTCCAAGCTGAAACCCATCTTCTGTTACCTTGTTCTTAGTGGATGCCATACCGGCATTATTAACTAAAATATCAAGCCTCTCCTCTGTTTCCAAAATCTCTTTGGCAAAGTTTCTTACTGATGACAGCCTCGAAAAGTCGAGTTGTTTCACCACTACATTTTCGTTTAAGGTATCTTTGATGATTCTGTCTCTTGCATCTATCGCTTTGTCTTCGTTTCTGCAAGCCAAGATGACCCTGGCACCTCTTTTTGCAAAGTCCAAAGCTGCTTCATATCCAATACCTGGAAGATTGTATGTAGCATACTGAACAAATTTGAACGTTTCTTTAATTACTTTTAAAACCTTAGGTTTTTGCCAACTAGACAATCCATAGCCCAGTAGATGAATACCTTTTACCTAACAAAAACTGTATAATGGATGAAAATTTGGATTGGCATGTCGAAAAGATATGCATCCTATCAAAGACAGAAACTGGAAACTTTTTTAATGCTTTTTTATTTTTGACTGTTTACGGCACTCTAGTTATTATATACGTGTATAGAGAAAAGTAGTTGAGTTGTTCTCCTAGAGCTCTCATTAAGTCATGCTCGTATGTTAGATTTTTGAGGCATCTTACTAATAAAATAGTTTTTAAAACCATTTACCAAGTCCATAATTAATCAAAATTACAAAAGAAGTGGAGGAAAAGCTAAGTTTTAACGTTAATATATGACAGTTGCTCCGAAAAATATCTGGTGGAAACGTCTATTTAAAAGTGAGCAAAATTTTTTTGCGGTCAAGTGCTATGCCATGAATCTTTTCAAAATCATGATAGCGGAAAAATCTTTTCCATTTGTTGTACTAAAAAGCAAAGATATCTACTTTCTAGAAAATAAAATATACCATAACTAAGTTCGACTTTCTGATTCGTTATATCCAAGCAAAGTTTTTTGACATTATTTATCCATTAGGAGAAAATATCCTTGAATTTCTTTGGGTGTAAGGCAAAGTATTGCAAAAGTACACTCTTATAACTTAAACTCGAGCTTTCTAAGATCCATGTCTTCATCGAGGAAACAATTATTGACAATAGCAACAATTAAAAGTCAGTAGGAAATATAGTTAATTTCAAAGTCGGCGAAATTGTTGCTGAAATTGTTTTTAAACAACAGTGAAGGGAATACATAGTCGACGAATAAAAAACTGGACTGATGAGGTTTGATTAGGACGGAATTATTTTATTATTAAATGGCAAATCATTTAACATTTAACTGGCACCGTAAATGTACGAAAACTGAATGCTTCTTTATCACAAAGCAATACACGCAGCCACCACAAAAGCTTAATAGAAAAATCTGACCATTTCATCACTTGTTGTTCATGGCAAGATAAATCTATTTGTAAGAAATCCTTGAATTCTGATAGACATACGTAGATGTTTACCTTTTTTGTCACTCAGTATATGTTGGAGGTAAATATAAAACCTCGATAATAATAATGACGCTAAACAGTCTTTCTTTACACGTTGTGTTATTAAAATAATATGTATGCTTCGTGAACAAATACAATGACATTATTTTCATAAAACAGCAAAGCTTTTTCATTGTGGAGAGTTTTGGGTGATCATTTAAAAATATACTAAATTAATATTTTTCTGTTTCTGAGAATATTGAGCCTACTGAGATTATACAAATATGTGTGGCGCAGGTAAAAATATAAAAAGTGCCCGCCGAAAAAACATGCAGATTGGAACCAAAAACGATGCCCTCTACGAAATGTAATTACCGATTCTGAAAGATAGCAGCTGTTGGACAGCAGCAACTGTTATTTTTTTCTAGTTTTGTAGTCTGTAAGCGGTAGTGTTGCTAATAATACTTTAAAGATGTCATGTACTCTATACCTAATTAAATAGCATTTATGCAGCATCAAACTATGAGCGGCTACTCGATCGCGTACCTTCCTTGCTCATCTTGACGTTGTTCCGTGCCCAATAGTAACGCAATAAGTTGATGATTTAGATATCGTATTTGGTTTAATGTGGCGTAAATAAGATTTCAATAGGGTTTAGCAATCCCAGATTGCTCTGAAATGCGATTTTATTAATAATAATATTATTCCGCCAATCCCCCTCCCCACTTGACACTTTTATATAGGTAAGTTTTTGTTATTTGGGTAGTCATTCCAAAGCCCACCTTCTCCTTAAGTTTGACGTGGTACTTATTGGACACAGTGTATATATTATGAAACTTAATAATATATACATAATAATGAGATACTATATTTTGAGATTTGTTGACTTGGAAAAGAGATTCTGATCATTTATTGCTCACTCAGAGCCAGATTTATTTGTGTTTCCAATACATCAAGTTGTTTTCGCGTTATGTGTCGGCACGTGTTTCAGGAATTTGAATAAAAATGCTCCTAGTTCTTAGAATGGAAATGTATCTTAATAGTAATCCTTAAGTTAGTACAAAGATTGCCAAATTGGCTTTATTTAGAGAATATGGAGCAATTCCACTATAATGACAACGCGACAGTCAAAAACTGAAGAATACTGTACAGAATTATTTGTATATGTATTGTATAATATGTGGACTGAATAACTGTATGTTCTCATGCGCAGCACATCCCGTCAGCCCGGTGTCATTGACAAGAAAGCCTCAAAAATAGAATTTCATATACCTAAATGCCTATACTGAACTAGAACACGCATTCTACATAGGGCGCTCTATTAGATTGATATCAAATATCCTTAACACTACAACAGTCAAGTCAAGTCATCGTTGGTTGTCAGAGCGGTTCGTATAACCTTAGCTCTTGAGTCAGAGTGTCAATTTGTAACCAAGAAACCAGAAAATTTTAAAGAAAAAAGGGAAGAAAAGGAGAGAAGGAAGAACCAGAGCAAAGAGGGAGAAGAGAATCTTTTGGGACAGGGAGCGTTTAGGCATTGTTAAAACCACTGGACAGATTTTGATATGGACAAGAAAATATTTGAATTTTTGTCAAAATGCTCGAATTTTGGTTGTTCTTAGCTCACGAATTAATTTTGATTGCAGTGCGAGCTGCAACCTTTTATGCTTGCGAACTTCCTCGACTGTGTGGTTCACTGACTCGCGCAACAGAGGGTTTCTGTGCGATTCCGCTTGGCTATAGCGCCGCTGCATCTTTTTTTTAATGTAGTCCCTTAGGTAAAGGACATCGAGGTCTCTTTGAAGAGTTTCATTAGAGACATACCATGGGACGTCAGTAGTCATGCTCAACGTCCTGCTTCCTACAACAGAGATACAGCTGTTTGGATATCACTGTTGTATCACATTGTATTTGTGATCTAATATATCGCACTATCACTGGCTGCTTAAAACTACGTTCATAGTAGGCCGATATTCATAACTGAGATGAGATATATGTTAGTTGAAGCATTGTTGGAGCCAAGTATATTTATTTTTATACTTGAAGGATGGCTAAAACGGTTGCAGAGCGTCAAGTTACATTATGCAAGACTCCCAAAAAACATTAACACTTTGTTGTGCTTTAAGTACCATCGCTCGACAAATTACAAAATACTCAAATGTCATTTTTGTGTTTCTATTATCTTTGGATGATATACCCACAATTCAGATAAAAAATAACCACCATACGAGTAGATGTCAGGTTTTAGGTGAGTCCGTGACATAGAGGTTGTTTGCCGATAATTAGCTTTTATTTAAATGCAGAAAGTTTTTGTTTATATAATTTTGAAAAATAAACTCTGATTCAGACAAGACATGTCACAGAACATCTGTTTTCCCTTCTCTTCAAAGAATTATGTAAATTTTTCAATTGTCCATTTATGCCACTTATCTCATACTACCAAAAACAATTGAACTAATTCGTAATTCCTCAAAACTATATGAGAATCATGTCTTAAAGTTATTCCTGTATTTCTTGCCGTTTTTAATCAGTGTGACAGAAGATGCCGAAAAATGTGCTGTGATTGTCAGTGCGTGATGGGTGAAATCTATAGCAGGAAGTTCTCTCTCACCTGTATTCGATCCAGTCACAATAACAGTCTTCCCCACAAGACAAACTTTACTTTTGCACCATCCGGTGGTGAGTTTGAGGTACACTTTTATAACAACAAGTAGCGCAGTGATGAAACCCAGTACGTGGAAAGCACTCATGTCGACTTTTTTAGTCTAATTTAAACTCACGGATACCTTAGTTATATGCAGTTAATACCACGCCAGTGATAAGGGTCACCAAAGTCTAGATAGTGAATATTTTAACATAAACTTACTTTGTTGAAATACATGAATAGTGTCGAGGTAGTCACGGTATAATGCGATGTTCAATTGTGAACACTGTGTAAATTGGTTTGAAAGTACTTGTAGATAAGATTGTATGTAGCATAATATATGTAGCAAATTGATCATTTATACAAGCCGTACTAGAAGTAAATAGGGCATTTCACGCGAAGCGGACAACGAAAAAAAGTGCAGTTTCAAAGATGGTTCATATTGGGCCTAACACGTAGTAGGTGTGTAAAAAATAACACGTAGTGTGATGTTCATTTGCTTGCTAGAGTATTTTTTCGAATTAAAGAGGATTACATTAAGCATAGGGTTTTAGACGGGCAATTTTCTATAATCTACAAAACAAAAGCTAAATCGAATAAAAGCATTATGGTTCAAAACCATTCCAAATCAAAGTTGGTTAAGGTCGTCATTTTCATTTTAATTTTTTTTTTACTTCAAAAGATAGCCTCGAGAGTATTTGAATATATAAGAATTCTTAAAATGGGATGCGTATTAATTACTTTATGTAGATACATGTAGCACTGTGTATGACGTTAGGCGTTACGAGATATCGCATTAATGAATACTTTTAAGCTCAGCTTTTTCGTTGTACGCTTCACGTGGAATTCCGAAATGTCTGGAGGAAAACAGATAGCACAGAAGGTCTAAGGCCCGTATCGTCAGTCATCCCTACAATTGTAGGGCGCCTTTATGGCCTCCTTGATTGTCATAGTTTTCTACTTCTCCGTGTCAGCGCTCTATTTTGAGGTTATGTCACAAACATCTATTTGCATCAAATTATGCTTTCTTCTGAGTTATATCATGTTTTATCAGCCTGAAATTTCCTACAATTTAAAAAGAAAACATATCTTCACAATAGGAGAGCGCTGACGCTGACACGGGACAAGTGTAATCTAGAAATTTTTGAAGGAGAGAAAGCAGTATGACAATCAAGGAGGCCATAAACGCGCCTACAATTGTAGGGACGACTGACGATACGGGCCTAAGAAACGTTCATTTTATGCAATAATAATGTCCGAACGCCTGAGAAAACAAGAAGACGTTTTTAAGATACGTTTAATGTCTCGTTTTACGAACTTCCGGACACAACGTTTTCTTATGAAAGATTTTTAGTTATTCATTCTAAAAAATTAGAAACATACAGGGTGTCCGCAAAGTTGGGGTTTTCCTTTACACGACGTGTAGATCTTGAAAACATAAGCAATTTTCCTTAGTACCATATACACCAATGTCTTAAGGGAACCGAGATAAAGGGCTCTGCAACATCAAAAATATCTGAATACCGTCCTGTAGCCGCGACATCCCCGACTGGTACTAGGACACTAGCTCAACCCGACGACAGAACTGGGTCGGGGTCAGTGTGTCAGGTCAGTATGCAACCTTCAACCGATGGTTACGGTCACGCGTCTAGAGGTAATCGCGTAGACGAGAATCCCTCAACAAGCACTAGAGACGTGGCTAGAGACGTGCAAGTATCAAAAACTAAAGTGTGGCAAACGCTGCGTGAAGGGGGGCTGTATCCGTTTCACGTCCAACGTGTACAAGCCCTTCAACCTGACGATTTTCCAGCAAGAGTGCGGTTTTGTGAGTGGTTGTTGCATCAACATGACAATAATCCGGACTTTTTGAACTGCATATTGGGGACAGACGAATCTACGTTCACGCGTAATGGGGTGAATAACTTTCGCAACACTCATGTTTGGTCAGTAGAAAATCCGCACGCTGTCCGTCGGGCACATTTTCAACAAACATTTTCGGTGAATGTTTGGGCTGGCATGGTGAACGGTATGCTCATTGGACCATTTATTCTCCCAAATCGATTGGACGGGATGCAATACCTAGACTTTTTACGCAACATTTTGCTTTCCTTGTTTGCCTCCGTCTGCTCGGTAGCCCATCAGCTGATTTCATTTTCTGTTGGGGCGGTATGATTTCGGGCAGACACGTACTTAGCCCTTCTCGACAACTGGAGAGTAAGTACTTTTTCCTTAATTTTTATTTACTTGGTCGTCCTCGTTTCACTACTCATTACCTTTGTTATTTCAAGGGTAGTTGTTTCTGAAAAGGAAAACCCCAACTTTGCGGACACCCTGTATATATGAGAAATACAAATGCCAAACACCCAACTAAACATTAAAGTAAAGCATACTTTCTTGTTTACTCAACCACGATTGAAAGCATCCAGTCTGTTTTTAACACCTTTTAAGATACATCCATTTTTTAATGGAATTTAATTATTTTAAACTATGCAAAAGAGAACAAGTCATTTATGTGATTTTTAACACTATTGTCTTTTCTGTAATCATTTAGACGTCAAGTCTTCTTGTGAACATTTTATTTTATCTCATTAATTGTCCCCCAGATGGCGATCCCCATATTTACCTCTGCAACATCTCTAGCTCTGTCATCTGTTCATTTGGCAAGAGTTTCTTGGCCGCTTTCTGTTTTCCACTCGTGTTCATTGGGAAAAAGTACTGTAAGTTTCTATCGTTTTTCCTCCATGTGTTTGTTGGTATTAGATATTAGAAAAAGTGCTATCTGACTTTAAAAGTAGGTATAGGCCTTGAACGTAAACTAATTTGAACAAAACGCTATCGGCGTCATTCAAGAATGTAGAACTTATACATCTACTGATTTTGTATGAGGTTCTACTTACCACATTAGTAGTTTTCCATATTGTATTGAGAAATATCCGTTTTTCTGTTGCAATAATGCACAATGCCGGTTTTCAATGAGCAGTTGATCTCAGTTGGGCATAACTCGGCGACAGTGTCGTATATGCTTCCAGCTTTTTATTTTGATGCATTTCTAAAAAATATGAAAAACCCGACTGCGGCAACTAAAAAGAATGGATGTTTAATTGTGCTATCAAGACGAATCTAAGAACACCTCAAATGTCAAAATCGTTGTAGCTGTTTGGGCTATAGTCCGAGAAATAGGTTGAAGCTTACGATCGACTACTATGATTTTATGAAACTTTGATAAGCCTACTGTCACTCAGGCTGCCAAGACAAATTTAGAGACACATCGTATGTCAAAATCCATCCAGTCGTTTAGGCTGTAGCCCCTGAAATTTCAAACTTGAAACTGAAATCCGCCATTTATATTTCACAAAATTTCAATATAGCCAGTGTCACTCGTACTCAAGAAAGAATTTTTTTTTTGGCACTAGGACATTGCGTCCCATTAGCCAGATCCAATCTTGTATATCTCTAATTATGGACAAACACACGACGTCACAACATCCATGGCGAAGGCGAGATTCGAACTCGCGGCCCGGCCGGCCGGCTGATCAGTAGCACGACACTCTGACCCACGCGGCCAACCGAGGTCCCCGTACTCAAGAATCCAACATCATCTCATATGTCAAAATGCATCAAGCTATTTTTAAGCTACAACCTATGAAATAGGAATTTCAAAGTCAAAGTTTTCCTTTAAAATGCTCAATTTTGTACTTATAAAATTGTATTATAGCCAGTGTAACTGACACTGCAAATATCAATTCACGAAAACAAGAGATAGGAAATTGAGCTCCGTAAGCGATACAAAATTGATTTTCTGCATATTGTACGTACGAGAGAGACGTCATATGCGCAAAACCTGAAATTCATTTCCTGCGCGGTGTGCTGTCGAGATAGCGCCTCCTTCGTTGCAGGCAATTTTGGCTTCAATTCCACTCTATGAATTTAACCTCTTATCTCTTGTCTTCGTGGATGAATTCATCAACACCTCGTATGTCAAAGTCCATGAAGCCGTTTGGCATGTGGCCCGTGATGCTTTCTTATACATAGATACAACCCATCAGCGACATTACCCTCCTTCTGAGGCAGTTGGGTAAAAACTGGTGTGTGAAACACTGCCCTGGTTCACCCTAAATTTGCCATTTCGTATATCTTGTTACCACCTGTCAAAGAAAAGTTTACTCATTTCGTTCAAATTTCCCTTGCCGAGACTGTCTATTGATAATATACCTACAGGGGACTCCATTTAAAAACTACAACATTATTCGATAACATTTCCTATATTAGGCATTACAATTCTTGTATAAAACTTTTTTTCTCTAATCGATCATACAAAAAGTTAAAGAGACGAGTCTACTTATAACAATACTGTACCTGTACCAGGTTGTCGAACCGTGGCGTATTTGCTCCTTTAGCTGCCTATCGAGGTCTCGAGTAGGGGATGGCTTCGTTGAAAGGCACGTGGATGTTGAAGATAATAAAAATTAAAAATGACTCTATAATAAGTGAAATACACACTTTTTCAATATAGATCCATTAATGATCAGCCGTTAATCACACTTTATATAGAAAAATGTCCTTGTATACAATAATGGTTAATAAAAACTGATGTATTTGTTTTATGGTACAATAACGTCAGACCCTTTGGTACATTAAGCAATGTGTGTTAAATATGCCTGATAGGTGCGTAAAATAATCGAGCTGTTAGTGATTAATAACTGAACCGAAAAATTGTGATATAAAACGCCCAATGCTAGCAACCCCAGATGTTTTTCTGAAAATGACCAGGGGTGAAGTCTGAGCAGCCTTTATTCTTTTTGCCCGTAGCTGTGCCGCCACTGGATTTCCAGAACCTATAAAGTTTTTATTAGGTACTTTTAAAAGAAATATAGACAAACGGTGTTCAGAAGCCAGCGAATTGTAGCGCTGCCCATGATCTGTGCTTACAAAACGGTCTCGGCCTAAGCACTGCTGATGGTAGCTGGTATCCCGCCATTTGATTTGCTGGCCGAGGAGAGTTGTGCGCTCTATAAAAAGGGCGTCAAAGCTAGAAGCGACGAAAAGCGCGCTTTTCTTAGATGGCAGGAGAGGTAGGATTGAACTGGCCATGGTGCATGGACTAAAAGACTAATCTCAGATATTAAATCTTGGATTGACATTGCGCGGTATGGGCAGATTACTATAGTGCACAGTACTCCCAGGACATGGTAGTTTTGACAACCGCTGAAAGAGAGAGTACGCGAATTGCGTGAATTGCTTTAAGGAGAAGGATACTCCTAATCACTTACTCGAAT